CTTAACATGCTTCGCTTAGCATGTCAGCAGTCAAGGGACCCTTAACTTAACAAGTAGACCTATTAGTTAGCTAGTGCACGTAATTCCTTTTAGTCTTATAAAAAGAATCAGCTCCTTTGAATCTTAAAGAGCAAATAGAATTCAAATACTTTATCAACCGAGTGTTTTGCAATTGCAAGTACTTTAACGACTGTTACGACTTTACGAATATATTTTTAATCGCTTAAAAGCAATCTAACACTAATCAGTAGTTGATTTACTACTAAGTGATCAATCATAGAGAAGCTAAGACTTTATAACGAGGATACTTGTTATTACGATACTTTTTTTTTATAACGGAAGAGCGATTTCGTACTAAATCGCTTTTTATATTACCGATTTTCTTTATTCTTACGGAAAAGTGATTCCGAACCAAGTCACTTTCAAAAACAACAATATTAACGTTATAAAAGCCGCGCTTGTTACATATAGCACCTTAACTAAATTTAAATCGACTTATATACTAACAGACAACAACTATAGCCGATCGAGCAATTAAACCTTTAAGTAAAGAGTCTAGCCGATAAAAAGCAAGAGGGTATTATATCCTTCGAGTCTTATCATTACTTACGGAACCCTTAGCTATTTAGTTAAAAAAAACACTATACCTAAGGCTCTTAAGCTTTTCGAAAGGATCAGACGATAAGATGTCGGGCATCTTATTTAACTTAAACGAGCTTTTATACGCAAGGCTCGACAATAAGATTACGGCTCGAGCAATAGTAAAGGACTTCTTAAATGCGAAATGTAAAAAGCTAAGGGATTACGACTTATAAAGCTTATTCCGGCACGCTTTCTTACGCTAAGATTAAACGAGTTTTACGATAACGAAAGATAATATAAAACGAGGCTTTAAGTATGCTACTTTTATTAACCTTAAGGAACACTTGCTATCTAAAAGTGTATAGTGCTTTTTAAAATAAAAAGGCTACGCTAATAAGATGGTTAAGCTCTTGAACGATAAATAGCAATACTAATAGACCTTCTAAGAAATAAAAGAGCAATAAGCAACACCTTTAAGCCTCGATTTAAAGTAGACCGTCGAAAACCTTACGGACGACGACGACGACGATATTACACTTTAACCACCTTTACTTCCGCGCAATTTAAAAAAGAAAGAAAAAAAGACTTTAAGCAAGAAGAAAGAAAGAGAAGAAATCCGAAAGTTACGAGAAGAGTTTTTAAAAGAGAAGAGAGATATAAAACGCAATATAAAAGCTATAGTAAAGCAAATAACGGAATTACGGACTTACGTTATACAATTTAACGAAAAGCTACGACGAAGCGCTTTAACGTACTCGACGTCTTTAATTCGTTAACCTCATCAATCGCTACGCAATACGCCAACTATACAAGAAGAGCTAAAATCACTTTAGCGGCTTTTAAACCTTTTTCTTAAAGGCTATAACTGAATTTTCGAAAAGCTAAAACCGAATAGCAATAAAAACGGTCTTAAGATCATTATCGGACTAAATAACAATCGAAGCTACGAGAGCTACACGCTAAAAGAGGACCCGCTAAGATTTGAAAGCATTCCGGACAAAATCAATTCTTATTAAAAACAGCGTACAGATTTCCGTGCTTAACTTCAGCAACCCGAAAAAGAGATCTAGCACTTTCGGACGTATCGGCAAGTTATCTATATCTCTTAAAAGGCTACGTATTAATAAAAAAGAGACTAAGAGTATAAGAATCGCTAAAAGCAAACTTAAAGATACGGATATTATTAAGCTAAAGCTTTAGCCGATAACTTAAATAGCTTTAGCGATCTTAACGATGATCGACGAAGAAGAAACGAAGAAAATAAGCAAAGAGATCGAAGGCACGGATACGGAAAGAGTAAGAACGGGCCCTTTAGACTATTAAAAAGATTCGGAAACGGACTTCTAAAGGACCTCGAATCCGAAAATAAGCCTTTTAAAGACCTTAGAAAAGTAAGACTTATAACCGGCAACTATATTAATAACCTTTTACCGATCCGACCACTAGCTAAGCACGGCACGCTTGCGTACGGCACTTTAAGCGCTCTTGACGATAATAAAAACGACTTCTTTAAGCTTAAAGCAACGGACCCTTACTTAAAAGCAAAAAAGTTAGCTTTGTTCGCGCGAAGCTTTTTTAAAGAGCTAAAGTATTCAAGACCCGACGATAATTTTAAAACTCAATTAAAGATTTTTACTAACTAAGCAAGTCGATACGGTTTGACTTTAAACGACTACTTAGCGGCGTTCCTTATTATGCTAACGAAAGAAGCTATAACCTTTTATTACAATTATGTGATCAAAGCTAAGCTTTTTACGTTTAAAGCGAACGCTATTATTATAAAAGACCACTTCGAGATTAACTACCGGCGGCAAGCAAAATATAACCGCTAAAAAGAAATTTCGCTAGATTTAATTAAGAAAAAGAATCCAAAGACCTCGCTTAGCGAGTGCTTTAAAAAGCTCGCTAAAAAGCTTAAAAGCATTCAAAGCTCTTTACGACCGGGTTTAAAAGACGATCGAAGTCTTGTTAACAAGCTGTATTCAACTTATAAAAACGTATTAAAGACTACGATTGCACGAATGAATCTTGCTTTTACTTTTACCGCAGCAATTGCTAATATTCGTCGAGCAATTGCTTTTACAATTAAGACCTTTCGACTTTTCGCTAAGGCTAGAGCTTACGCGAGCTTTAGCGAGCCATACGATCACACTTGCTCTTACAACACTTTAAAAGCTGACTCCGATTTAAACGAAGAATACGAATGTTTTATTTAAGACCGTTAATACTTCGGAAGTAAGAAAGCTGCTAAAGCTATTATTAAAGATAAGAAAAAGTGTTTTGTTTACAAAAAGCTAAGTTGCTAAAGTATTAACTACACTTTCGACGAGAGAAAAGCATCCGTCGCTAAGTTCTAAGCCTTTAAAGACGCGAAAAAGGTAACGAAAAGCAAATTTTTTTAATACGTAGCGTCGATCGAAAGTTTGCTACTTATATTTACGAAAGAATTCGATTAGTTCATCGCAAGCTTATCAAACGAGCCGCTCGAATCGAGCAGCTACGCTAACATGTCGGAAGGCTTTATAACTACTTACAGCACTTTTGACGCTAACGAAGTATACAAACAATTAGAGATTCAAACGGCATTTTACGCTCTTATTAGTTAAGTAAAGACTTAAAAGATGCTCGAGCAAGATCCGCGTGTGCCCGCGAGCAAAGCAAAGACTTACATAGCTTTTAAGTACTTTAAAAACGTATTTATAAGCCTTATGATTGACAGCGGAGCAATTAATTTTTCTACCGCTAGCTTGCCTTAGCTACGAGCACTTTAAAAGAAGTACCTCGAGGTTTAATTAAATACATTTCGAGCAAGAGAGAAGTCCGTTAAATACGGCATCGGCTTTGCTATTTTTATTAAAGCAGTTACCTTGGAAACACTTTTAAGTCAAGTAGAGTTCTACGTTGTAAAGAGCGACGTACTTTTCTTATTCTTATTAGCTAATATAAATAAGTATAAAGTGATCTTAGATAACTTACGGAACGTGCTAGTCTAAAAGAAAAAGGAAATACTAATAATAAAGATGTTTAAACACGTGTAGATGCTATTAAGTAAAAAGCACGCTGCTACTTATTATAGCACCGAAAGCGAGACCGTCTATTGCTATCTTACGGAAAAGCAATTAAAAACTATTTACAAGCGTTTTAATCACTCTTTAGCAAATCGATTTGCTGCTGTTCTTAAAAGGGCTAAGCACGAATTCAAACGGGATTTGCTTTATAATATTTAAAAGTTTTGCTACTATTATTAAGTCTTTAAGCGTTCTTTTAAAAGATTCAATATTAAGCTTAAAGACGATACTAACTTCAATAATACGATATACGTAGACGTAATACACTTTAACGATAAGAACGTATTATACGTCGTTTGCGATTCTATTAATTTTTAAGCCGCTACTTTTTTTAAAAGCATATCCGCATAGCATTTACTTAAAAGATTCAGTAGATGCTAGGTCAATACTTACGTCGGACCTTTTATAAACGTCGTGCACGATCTCGGAACTAACTTCAATTTAGCAACGTTCCGAAGCTACTTTAAAAGTATTAGCAGCATTTTAAAGCAGATGCTTATAAAAGCTTATTATAGCGTCGGGCTAATAGAACGCTATTACGTCTTTATACGACGCGCTTTTGAGATCGTTATAAAAGAGCTTCTTAAAGCTTTAAAAGAGGATCGGCTTCAAATGGCTATCAAAGCTATTAACGACACGGCGAGACTTAATAGCCTAGTCTTTACGCTTCTCGTTTTTAAGACCTTACTAAAGTTGACGGACCAAGATCGGCCTGCTGCGTTTACTTAAAAGCGTACTGCTATTATCAACAAAGCTATAAAAGAAGTACGAAAATGCTACGCTGTAAAGCAGGTTAAGGACGCGCTTAAGAAGAAGAATAAGCCAGTTACGAAGCATACTTTAGACTTTTTTATTAGCTTATAAGTACTCGTATAACGAGAGAATCAAAAGTAGAAGGGCCTTTTTCAGCTACTTAGCAAGCAAGGGCACACGTGCATAATAGCATGTCCGAGACTTACGGAATTCAGGTCAACTTTAATAAAACTTTATTACTTTAAAGTTGAAAAGCTGCTAAAAGAGTTGCAAGTACTTAAAGTAAAAGTAAAAAAAGATCAGAATAAAAGCGACGAAAGCGAAAAAAAGCTAGAACTACGAAATTCGCTTAAACCTTAACATTCGCTTAATCTATCGAGGTCGCTTAATCTAAAAAGCTCGTTAAAATTAGCAAACAACCTCTTTCAACTTATCAATTCTTAAAGATCAATAATACTAATAGTTTAAATACCTTACTAAAAGTACGATCTTAGTATCTCGACCGTGCTCGACGAAGAAGAAAGCGATTCTTACGTTCTATTTATTAAAGACTCCGAGGTGTTGATTACCGATAAAGAACGCCGAGATTATAAGCTCTTAATTAAGCTGCGCGCCGAAAGGATTATCAAGAGCTCTAAAGCACTATTTTAAGAGTTTAAAGTAAAAGAATTAACTAGATTAATAGCTTAAAGCATCTTTCAAGTGATCTCGAGCATCGACTTACGCGCTAAAAGCGCTAAGATCTTCGGATCTAAGTTTGTTAATAAGATCAAAAGCAAAAGAACACTTACGCTATACGAGAAGTCTCGTATAATAGTCCAAGCTTTTCAAGATAAAAGCAAGACGAAAGTACTCACCGAATCACTTACGGTATAGCGAGCGGGCTAAAGACTTTATTATGCTTTAGCTCTTTCGTTGATAAAGGACTACGAGTGTTAAGTTTATAACAGAAATATTATTTAAGCTTACACTCAATCAAGCACGAAGCTTATTCGAATAATCGTCGTACGATTATTTAAAAAGATCACTTATCGATTCCCTTTCGGCACTTTGTTCTTTATAACTAGCTTTTTATACGGCATCCTCGAAGTAAGAACGCATTAGTATAAGCGTTTTTTAAAGCATTTCACGGACAACCTCGAGATAAAGCAATCGAGCTTTGATTCTTGCTTTTTTATATCAATTAATAAAAATCAGCTAAGAATAGTTGCTTTACAAACGGACGATATTCTTATAGTTATTAATCTAGCTATAAAAGCAAAGGAAGAGAGAGAGCTAGTCAAATCTAAACTAAAGAGCAAAGAAATAAAGACCTTTATACACGCCGAACCGATGATTTTTAATAGATGCAAGCTATCTTTAGATAAAGACGGGTTCGGGCTATTAATTAAGCAGAAAGAGCAAAGTAAAAGGCTTGCCGTAATCAAGCTCGATTCAACTATACGAACCAAGGAGTACTTAAAGCAACGTGCTCGAAAGGCGTATTTAGCTATCATTTGCTACTTAAAAGCATTTTGCGCTTTATCGATAGCTGCTTAACACTAAGAACCGAAAGACGAAGACTACAAAGCCCTTAATAAAGTGATCTAATAGCTGATCGATCACTTAACTCGAAGGATCTACTACGTGCCCTTAAACTTAAAGACGGCGAAGCTCTTTATGTTCGTGGATAAAGCGTTTGCTAACAACGCAAGTTCGCCAGTGATATTAATCGGGTCAGGTTCAGGAATGATTTGACCGGGGGTGGGGTCATTAGGAGCTTTTCGTAGTCGTCCGGGGTAGAAGACTGGGTGAACTTTTATTGACTCGAAGAGCTTGAGTTTAAAGCTGCTATAGACGTTGTCGGTAACCTCGAACGGTTCGTTCGTCGGGTTATCGAGCTTCTTTAACGGTCGGGAGGTAAGGAACGAGCGCATGTCCAATCAAACCTTATCATTGACGTCGAAGTCAACCGGGCGCCTTGATTTATTAGCTTGTTTAGCTATGCGGTCTTAGGCGCGCTAGAGGTGCTCTTTAGCGAGGTTTTAAGCTTCGAGGTGGCGGTTGGCGTAGGCGCGAGCTTCGTCTTGGTTGAGCTTGCGGGAAGGGGTTTGGTCGTCAGGTCGGTCCAAGCTTTAATTCCAAGTGGTCCGGGGGGCGTAGCCGTGAATTACTTCAAAAGGGGAGAGGCCGCCGAAGGAGTCGTAAGGGAGCGTCAATTGGGCGAAGTCTATTATAAGAAAGAACTCACTCCAATCGTCTTGGTAGTAGCTCACGAAAGGACGGAGGCGCTTTTGCAAGTACTGGTTGTAGATTTCGGTCTGACCGTCAGTCTTAAGGTGTGCGGCGGTGCTAAAGGTCAGTTTAGTACCGAGGATCTTATTGAATTCTTTCTAGAACTCGGACTAGTATTAAGGTCCTCTATCAAAAGTTAGTGTCAAAAGAGCTTCAAAATACTTGTAGATATGGTAGATATAAAGCTTAGCGAGGCCTTTAGCATCGATGGACTTGTGATAAAGGATCGAGATTGCTTGCTTAGAGAAGCGATCGATTACTATAAGGACGTTGTCGTAGCCGTGCTTATCTTTATTGAAGCTACAAAAATCTATAGTGACGTGCTTTCAAAGGCGCGAAAGGATCGGGAGAAGTTGGAGCAAACTAGGTTTCTTATCGCGAAGCATTGAAGCTCGTTTGCAAGCATAGCAGTTGCGGCAGTACTAGTTGACGAATCTAGCTATGCCGTGCTAGTAGTACTGTGCTGCAAAGAGCTTATAGGTTTTGCGGGAGCTAAGGTGTGCCGTAAATACTTGGTCGTAGACTTCTCGGACGAGTAACGAGCGCAGGTTTTAGACGTCGGGAACTAATAAGCGGCCGTTATAGAGCAGCAGGTCGCCTTCTATAGTAAGTTTGGCCCGTGAACCGTGGTTCACAAGTGAGGACTCAACTTTAAAAGCTTGAATTCGAAGTGCTGTGAAACTAAGGGCGGTCCGATTAGCTTTTAAGACTTAGTTAATAACTCGGAATATCGGTGAGAGCTCCGCGATCTCTTCGATAGTGACGGCGGTCTTCGAGGGCGTAAGTTGGCGTAGCTCTTCGGTTAAGAGTCGTAGGTCAACGTTGTCGGCGCGGAGCAGCGTTTGCAAGCGTTGGGTACGCTTAAAGCTGTTCTAAGAAAGGAGCTCTTCGGTGCGGCGTATTAGCGCGTTAGCCAGCGGGTTGTCTTTACTTGGTCTGTACGTGATGATGAAGTTGTAATCGGAGAAGAGCTCTGTTTAGCGTGCTTAACGAGCGTTGAGGGTCTTAGAGGTCATGAAGTACTCTAAGGCCTTATGGTCGGTGATTACTTGAACCTAGTAAGAGGAGCCGGCGAGTTCGGCGCGGAAGTTATTAAAAGAGCGTATAATAGCTAGCATCTCTTTATCGTAAACGACGTAGTTGAGCTTAGCGGGAGCTATGGTTTTAGAGTAGTAAGCGACTAGTAGCTAATCGGGACCATGCTTTTAAGAAAAGATTAAGGCGATTACGCCGTCGGAAGCGTCAGTCTCTAGTATACAAAGGAGGTTTTAGTTATAATGCTATAAGATTGGCGTAGTAATTAAGGCGAGCTTTAAGAAGTCGAAGCTTCTTTAACATTGAGAATTGAATGAAAAAAGAACGTTGGCCTTAGTCAAGTGCATTAAAGGCTTCGCGATCACGCCGTAGTCTCGAATAAATCGGCGGTAAAAATTATAAAATCCAAAGAAGCTTTGGACGCTTTTAACGGTCGTAAAGGGCGCTTAATGCTTTACTATCGACGTCTTGTCCGGATCTACTTTTAGGCTTTCGGTGGAGATGATGAAGCTTAAGTATTTTACTTTAGTAGTGTTGAATTCGCATTTTTTGATGTTAGCTTAAAGGCTAGCGTCGTCGAGTCGTTGGAGAACCTGGCGGACGTGGTGGGCGTGCTTTAAAAGGTCGGAAGAGTAGATCAAGATATCGTTTAAATATGCTATGCAAAAGATGTTTAAAAAGTCGAAGAGAAGGTCATTTATATAGCGTTGATAAGTAGCGGGTCTATTGGTTAGTCCGAATGGGAGAACTTTGCACTTGTAAGCACCGTAGCGTGTTCTGAATGTTATAAGCTCTTTTGAAGCTGGGTCTATCCGTATTCTGTGAAAGGCTTGCCGAATATCGAGTTTCGTAAAGATTTTAACTCTTAAGAGACGTGCGAAGGTCTTATCGATTAAAAGGAGAAGGTATCGATCTTTACGAGTGAGGTTGTTCAGCGCGCGGAAGTCAATACAAAAGCGGAAGGAACCGTCTTGCTTTTTAATAAACAAGATTAAAGCTGTAAATAGCGCTGTTAAAAGTTCGATAAAACCTTTGTTAAGATTGTCGATAAAGTAGGCTTTAATGAGCTCTAGCTTAAGGATCGACATCTTGTATAATAGTGAGTACCGAAGCGCTTTCTTTCCCTTTTCGAGAAGCTCGATTTTGTGATCGTAAGGCTTGTGTGGTGCTAGCACGTTGCTAGCGGCCTTAAAGAACACGTATATGTAATCGGAGTATTCGAGAAAGATAGGAAGGTCGTTAGTAAGCTCTAACAGTTCTGTTGCAAAGTCGATAGCAGAGATGGAGCCGTTAGTAAAGCGTGTTAACGCTGCTTAATAGTCAGCTTAAGTAAAAGCAATCGTTTAACGCTCGGAGATTAAGCAATCAAGCTCGTAAAGAGACGTAAAGAACAGTTCTACGTCTTTTTAGCGAGCGATCATATAGAAAGCGTATCCGGAGACGCCGTTGATTTTAAGGTTTCTATTGATTTTGTATTTAGATGTTTAGCGAAAGCGTTTAACAGGTAAAAGAGGTTCTACGGAGGCGATGTCGGTTGACAAAAGCTCACGGTTTATCTAAGACATTGATTTAGCGTAGTCCTTAGAAAAGGTGTTTTTCGTAAAGCGAGGGAGTGACGGCTCTACGAAAAGGTAAATAAAAGAAAAAGGTTCAACGATCTTGAAAGAGGAAGCGGAAGGAGGACGATTCCGAAGAGAAAGAGGACGATTCTGAGCAAAAGGAGGTGATTTAGCGACTATTGTTGCTGCTTGATCCGCCCGTGAACTATGGTTTACGAGTGAATTCGCGTCGTAAGCTTTTTAAAGGCGGTCTAAGGCTCGGTCACGCTTATTAGCGTCGTGTTGGTGACGAGCGTTTACTTTACGCTAGTTAAAGTATATAATCTTAATAGGTTTAGCGTAAGTGGCGGTCGGAGGGTTAGAACGAAGCTAATAGAGCTTGCGGCGAGCGCAGTCGAAGAGAATCTGGTGCTCAGCTAGCTATGCTCGTCCGAGGATCACGCTGTGATTTCTAAGGTTGGTGATAAGAAAAAGAGTAAAGGATTGGACGCGCTTGTTAATCGTAAAGTTGAGAAGTGCAAAATAGGAAATAGTGGCTTTACGAGCTCTATTGTATGATTTAATAAGGAATAGGGCCGGGAAGGGTTGAATTAAAAGTTTAAGAAAGAAAGAAAATGATTTGAGTAGCGCTAAGTCAATCAGCGCGTACTTATTAACTCTTGAGTCGAGTAAAGCAGATACTTTATACGAAAGGCCATTCTTGGTAAAGGTAACGGGTATAGTCATGGCTTTACTACCAAGGAGCTTCGTAAGGTCGAGGTATCGTATATCTCGAAGCTAGCTTAAAAAGGAGGCTTTGCTTAGGCCTCGACGTTTCCTTTATTGTCGGGAGCGTCGGAGTCAGCAAGAAGGAGCTTCTAGTGATCTTTAAGAGCGTCGGAGTAAGGCCTATCGTCCGAGTCATCCGAATAAGGGCCGTATTCGGGTCTAGCGCCGTATTCTATCTCGTTGACTGAGTGGTAGCGAAGGAGCTTCGGTGTATTCGAGTCTTTGCGGGACGATCTAAGGGTCTTGATCGCTGACTTAAAGGCGTTTCCGAAAGAAGAGAATTTGTTAGACCGATTGGATCGATCTGCACTAGCGCTAAGGCTGTTGAAGGTTTAGCGCTGAGAGGTAAGGAAAGAGACGGGGGTTAAGCTACCTTAGCGGTTCTTGTAATAGGTGATTTGCTTGACCGCTGCTCTTTAAGCTGAGCGGGATTCGTTACGAGCTCTATTATAAAAGCTCTTCGCGAATTGAGTGTTGTACTTAGCTTGTAGAGCATCGTAAAGCTTTGCAAACGCGTATTGGCCAGCAGCTAATTGTTGGACGGCGGTTTGAAAGTCCTTGAAAGTTATAGTCTTAGCAAATTCTAAATAGAGCTGGTCGCGTAGCGTCTTGATGATCTTAAAACGCAAGGCTTTACGTAATCGATCTTCGTCTTTGATTTCGGCGGTTGCGGCAAGCTTCGAGAAAACAAGGTAAAAGTCTTAAAATTGCTAGTTAGGCTTTATATAGAGTTTTTCGAACTTAATTAACGCTTTGGCCTTTTTAGCGAGGTCGTTTAAGAACTCGAAAGCGATCTAAACGAGTTCCGGAGCGGTTACGGGGTTGCTACGATCTATAACTAAAAGGGCTAAGAACAGGTGGGCTGTTCTTTCGGTTTGGTTAAAGACGTAGTTTTTGCGTTAGCGTTTTATAAAAAAGTATTCTTCGAAAGCTTCCAAGTTGTCGAGGACGCGGGCTTGCTAGTGACGTGCTCGGTAGCTTACACCGTCTGAGAGCTTTTGTTTAAGGTTAAGGATCCGCTCGATACGAGCGCGACTTTAAGAAGCTAAAGAAGAGGCTTTAAGGGTGTTGAACTTAGCTAGAATGCGGAGGTTGGTTGGCTTGTAAAGAGAAAGTGGTTCATCGTCGTCGGCGAAAAGGCGGCGAAGGTTGGCGGTTCTATAAGTAAAGGGAGTAGCTTGGGGGACCGAGGGCCTGTATGGCTCCTTGCTTTTGGAATTATCTTCGAAGGAAACTTAAGGAGGCTCTGACGGGCGTTCCGTAGTTGGCAAGACCGCTTAGAGCTGGTCCAGTTTCTTTCGAGCTCGACGGGCCTCTTTTTCAGCCCTTTCGGCGAGGGTTTTTTATTCGCTAACGCTTTTATCGAGCTCTTCGTTGCGGGTTTTCATGTCTGCGAAAAGCTTCTTGAGCTCAGCGGCCTTTCGTTGGGACTAGAAGAGAGCTTGGTATTAGGCCAAAGCTTCCTCGGGGTTGATAAAGGCCGAAGGATCATCTTTATCGTCTTGCTCACTAGTAGCTTCTTCTTAAGTAGAAGGAACTGCTAGTTGGGCCGTAAAAGAAGAGGAGGGAGCTGCTAGAGCAGCTTTAAGAGGTGTGCGAGGGATTTTGCCCGCGGGGCGAAGGTTGTTGTGTTGTGTAGGTGCTATCCTTTAAGTTGTACTTAGAATAAGCCTTTTCGTGACCGTTGGAATCGTCTGAATGTTTTTTAACGTCTAACTATTAAGGAATTCTAAAGAAGAGGAATATTATTGAAGCCGTTCCCGGCGGAGTGAGGTAGTTGTTGATAATATGACGACCTTAAGCGATTACTTAAAAGAACTCACAAGAGCGCGGGGGTTCATATAAGAGCTCAAGAGAATCTTAAAGTAATAACTTAAAATCAACAACTACCGAGTGTAAAGGTCGAAGGTAGCTGAGGTCTATATATACGAAGGTAGGAGCGCTAAAGACTCGTGAACCATGGTTCATAGGTCAAAAGCGGGGAATGAGAGAATACGAAGAATACGAAGGAAAAAAGGAGGGAAGTAGCTTGGCGCATGTGAGGTGCGTCCAGGAGACCTGGCGTGTCGTCACAAGAGCAGTACTAGCTTTTAAGCTATACGCTATATTTTTAAGTATCGATATAACTATTATTATATCGATTACTTTTACTTAAATTACAGCTTAGCTAAAGATCCTTAATTTCCTCGTAATTGTGTGCACTGACTCTTACTCGCTCTACGAGTGTATAATAAAGCTAGGAACTACTAAAGAAAAGCGCTTAATAATCGACATTATAGCTATTCGAGAGTCATACGAAAAGCGAGAGCTTTCTAAAGTACGCTAGATCGAAGGCAAATCTAACCTTGCTAACGCTATAACTAAAATCGGAGCTAATACTTCTTTGCAAGAGCTAGTTTTGATTAATACCTTAAAAGTGCAAGTAAACGGGTGGGTAGAAAGGCCGCTATAAAAGAAAGGAAAGTGAAGTTTAATAAAGTAATTGTTTTTCTTTTGTTTTAATCACTTTCCTTCTCTTTTTCGGTCGATATAATAATTAGCAAAGCACTGCTTGTTAAAAAGAGAGTTGCCGGTGTCGGTATATTTATATCGACCTTAGCTAGCTAGTAGTAATAGTTAAGGAAAGCTTATCCGTAAACCATAGTTCACGGGCCACTTAGCATGCTTCGCTTAGCATATCAACAGTTAAAGGACCCTCAACTTGATAAGTAGACTTATTAGTTAGCTAGTGCACGTGATTCCTTTTAGTCTTATAAAAAGAATCAGCTCCCTTGAATCTTAAGAAGCAGACAGAATTCAGATACTTTATCAATCGAGTGTTTTGCAATTGCAAGTACTTTGACGACCGTTACGACTTTACGAATATATTCCCAATCGCTTGGAAGCAATCCAACACTTTATGTTCGTAGATAGAGCGTTTGCTAATAACGCTGACTTTAGCTCTTAGATCGGTTTCGTAGTTATCCTTAGCAATAAAGCTTACGTAAGTGAGAACGAGTTCACTCTAACGAGTAACATCTTTTATTAAGTGTTATAGAAGTGCAAGAGAGTGATAAAAGCGGTGTTAGCCTTTAAGTTATACGCTATGTCCTTAGGTATCGATATAGCTATTGCCATGTCGACTACTTTTGCCTAAATCACAGCTTAGCTAAGGATCCTTAATTTCTTCGTGATTATATGCACTGACTCTTACTCGCTCTACGAATGTATAATAAAGCTAAGGACTACTAAGGAGAAGCGCCTTATAATCGATATTATAGCTATTCGGGAGTCATACGAGAGGCGGGAGCTCTCTAAGGTACGCTAGATCGAAAGAAAATCCAACCCTGCTGACGCTATAACTAAAGTCGGGGCTAATACCTCTTTGCAAGAGCTAGTTTTGACCAATACCTTGAAGGTGCAAATGGACGGATAGGTGGAAAGGCCGCTGTAAAAGAAGGAGGGATAAGATTGTTTTTTCCTTTGTTTAATTACTTTCTTTCTTTTTTCGGTCGATATAGTAGTTAGCAAAGCACTGCTTGCTAAAAAGAGAGTTGCCGGTGTCGGTATATCCATATCGACCTTAGCTAGCTAATAGTAGTAGTAGTCGTAATTAAGGAAGCTCACCCGTGAATTATAGTTCACGGGCCACTTGGCATGCTTCGCTTAGCATGCCAGCAATTAAAGGACCCTCAACTTGACAAGTAGACCTATTAGTTAGCTAGTGCACGTGATTCCTTCTAGTCTTATAAAAGGAATCAACTCCCTTGAATCTTAAAGAGCAGACAGAATTCAAATACCTTATCAACTGAGTGTTTTGCAATTGCAAGTACTTTGACGACCGTTACGACTTTACGAATACATATTCCTAATCGCTTGGAAGCAATCCAACACTTATAGTCTTCGTCCTTTAGTTCTTAGTATTAAGCAGCTATCGATAAAGCACACGATGCTTTTGAGTAGCAAATGGTAGCTAAATACGCCTTTCGAGCACGTTGCTCTAAGTACTTTTTAGCTCGTGTAACTGAATCGAGCTTGATTACTGCAAGCCTTTCACCTTGCCCTTTTTAACCAATTAACACTTCGAACTCGTCTTTATCTAAAGATAGCTTGCATCTATTAAAAATCATCGGTTCGGCGTGTGTAAAGATCTTTATTTCTTTGCTCTTTAGCTTAGATTTGACTAGCTCTTTCTCTTCTTTTGCCTTCATAGCTCGATTAACAACTATAAGAACGTCGTCCGTTTGTAAAGCAGTTATTCTTAGCTAATCTTTATTAATTAATACAAAGAGGCAAGAGTTAAAGCTCGATTGCTTTATGCCGAAGTTGTTTGTAAAGTGCTCGGAAAAACGCTTATACTAGTGCGTCCTTGCTTCGAAGATGCCGTATAAAAGGCTAGTCATTAAGAACAAAGTGCCGAAAGAGAATCGATAAGTGATCTTTTTAAGTAATCGCACGACGATTATTCGGATAAGCTTCGTGCTTAACTAAGTATAAGCTTGAGTGATATCTTTGCTATAGACTTAACACCCGTAGTCTTTTATTAAAGAAAGAGCTAGAGCATAACAAAGTCTTTAGCCCGCTCGCTGCACCGTAAGTGACTCGGTGAGTACCTTCGTCTTGCTTTTATCTTAAAAAGCTTAGACTACTATACGAGACTTTTCGTATAGCGTAAGTATTCTTTTGCTTTTGATCTCGTTAACAAACTTAAACCCGAAGATCTTAGCGCTTTTAACGCGTAAGTCGGTGCTCGAGATCACTTAAAAGATGCCTTAAGCTATCAATTTAACTAATTCCTTTGCTTTAAACTCTTGAAATAGTGCTTTAAAGCTCTTAATGATTCCTTTAGCTCGTAGCTTAGTTAAGAGCTCATAGTCCCGGCGTTCTTTATCGGTAATAAACACTTTAGAGTCTTTAATAAATAAAACGTAAGAATCGCTCTCTTCGTCGTCGAGTACGGTCGGGATACTAAGATCGTACTTTTGATAAGGTATCTAGACTATTAGTATTATTGACTTCTAAGGATTAGCAAGTTGAAGGTTAAGGGGGCTGTTTGCTGATCTTGGCGAGCTTCTTGGATTAAGCGACCTCGGTAGATTAAGCGAATGTTAAGGTTTAAGCGAATTTCGTAGTTCTAGCTCTTTTTCGCCTTCGTCGCCTTCACTTTGATCTTCTTCTACCTCTACCTTAAGTACTTGCAACTCTTTTAGCAGCTTTTCAACTTCAAAGTAGTAAGGTTTTATTAAAGTTGACTTGAATTCCGTAAGTCTCGGACATGCTACCGTGCAAGTATGCCTTTGCCTGTCAAGCAGCTAAAAGGAGCCCTTCTACCCTTGGTTTTCCCGCTACACGAGCACTTGTAAGCTAATAAAGAGGTTTAAAGTATGCTCCGTAACTAGCTTATTCCTCTTCTTAAGCGCGTCCTTAACTTGTTTTGCAGCGTAGCATTTTCGTACTTCCTTTATAGCCTTGTTGATAGCAGCAGCACGTTCTTAAGTAGACGCGGCAAGTCGATCTTAGTCCGTCAACCTTAATAAAGTCTTAAAAACGAAGAGTATAAGAACCAAGCTATTAAGTCTAGCTGTGTCGTTGATAGCTTTAATAGCTATTTAAAGCCGGTCTTCCCTTAAGGCTTTTAAAAGCTTCTTTATGACGATCTTAAAAGCGCGTCGCACAAGGACGTAATAGCGTTTTACTAGCCCGACGCTATGATAGGCTTTTATAAGCATTTGCTTTAAAGTGCTGCTAATACCTTTAAAGTAGCTTCGGAACGTTGCCGAATTAAAGTTAGTTCCGAGATCGTATACAACGTTTATAAAAAGTCCGACGTAAGTATTAACTTAATATCGATTGAATCCTTTAAGTAAGTGCTGTGCGGATATGCTTTTAAAGAAAGTAGCGGCTTAAAAATTAATAGAATCGCAAACGACGTGCAATACGTTCTTGCCGTTAAAGTGCATTACGTCTACGTATACCGTATTATTAAAATCAATATCGTTTTTAAGCTTAATACTAAATTTTCTAAGAGAACGCTTAAAGACTTAGCAATAGTAGCAAAACTTTTAGATATTGTAAAGCAAATCCTATTTAAATTCGTGCTCGGCCCTTTTAAGAATAGCAGCAAATCGACTTGCTAAAAGGTGGCTAAAACGCTTATAGATAGTCTTTAATTGTTCTTCCGTAAAGTAGCAATAGACGGTCTCGCCTTCGCTTTCGATACTATAATAAGCAACAGCGTGTTCTTTACTCAATAGCATCTATACGTGTCTAAACATCTTTACTATTAGTATTTCTTTCTTCTTTTAGACTAGCACGTTCCGCAAGTTATCTAAGATCACTTTGTGCTTATCTATATCAGCTAACGAGAATAAAAAGGGTACGTCGCTCTCTACAACGTAGAACTCCACTTGACTTAAAAAGGTATCTAAGATAACTGCTTTAATAAAAGTAGTAAAGCCGATCCCGTACTTAACGGACTTCTCTTTTGCTCGAGATGTATTCAATTGGACCTCGGGGTACCTCTTTTAGAGTGCTCTTAGCTAAGGCAAGCTAGCGGTAAAGAAATTAGCTGCTTTGCTGTTAATCATAAAGCTTATAAAGACGTTTTCCGAGTACTTAAAAGCTATGTAAGTCTTTGCCTTGTCCGTAAGCAAACGCGGATCTTGCTTAAGCATCTTTTAAGTCTTTACTTGGCTAGTAAAGGCGTGGAATGCCGTTTAAATCTCTAGCTATTTATATACTTCGTCAGCGTTAAAAGTGCTATAAGTAATCACAAAACCTTCCGATATATTAGCGTAGCTGCTCGATTCGGGTGGCTCGTCTAGTAGGCTTGCGATGAACTGATCGAATTCTTTCGTAAATACAAGTAGCAAACTTTCGATCGATGCTACGTATTAAAAGAATTTGCTTTTCGTTACTCTTTTTGCGTCCTTAAAGCTCTAGAACTTAGCGACGGATGCTTTTTTTTCGTCGAGGGTATAGTTAGTGCTCTAGCAACTTGGCTTCTTGCAAACAAAACACCTTTTCTCACCTTTAATAGCCTTAGTAGCTTTCTTACTTCCGAAGTATTGGCGGTCTTGAATAAAGCATTCGTATTTCTCGTCTAAATCGGAGTCAGCTTTTAAGGTGTTGTAAGAGCAAGTATGATCGTGTAGCTCGTTAAAGCTCGCGTAAGCTCTAGTCTTAGCAAGAAGTCGAAAGGTCTTAGTTGCAAATGCAATAGCCTTACGAATGTCGGCAATTACGGCGGTAAAAGTAAAAGCAAGATTCATTCGTGCAATCGTAGTCTTTAGCACGTTTTTACAAGCTGAATACAGCTTATTAGCAAGACTTCGATCATCTTTTAAACCTGGTCGTAAAGAGCCTTGAATCCCTTTAAGCTCTTTAGCGAGCTTTTCAAAGCACTCGCTAAGCGAAGTCCTTAGATTCTCTTTCTTAATCAAATCTAGCGAAATTTCTTTTTAACGGTCGTATTTTGCTTGCCGCCGATAATCAGTCTTGAAATAGTCTTTTACTGCAATAGCGTTTGCTTTAAAAGTCGAAAGCCTAGCCTTGATGACGTGATTATAATAGAAGGTTATAGCCTCTTTTGTAAGCATAATCAAGAATGCCGCTAAATAGTCGTCGGAAGTCAAACCGTATCGACTTGCTTAATTAGTAAAAATCCTTAATTGAGTTTTGAAATTATCGTCGGGTCTTAAATACTTTAGCTCTTTAAAGAAGCTTCGTGCGAATAAAGCTAATTCTTTTGCTCTTAAATAAAGGTCTGCTGCTCTTAACTCAAGGAAATCATCTTTATTATCGTCAAAGGCGCTTAAAGTGCCGTACGCATACGTGCCGTGCTTAGCTAATAGTCGGATCGGTAAAAGGTTACCGATATAGTTGCCGGTGGTCCGTCTTCTTTTAAAGTCTTTAAGAGGCTCATTTCCGAATCCGAGGTCCTTTGAAGGTCCGTTTCCGAATCCTTTTAATAGTCCAAGAGGCCCGTTCTTACCCTTTCCGTATCCGTGTCCTCGATCTTCTTGCTAATCTCCTCCGTTCTTTCTTCGTCGGTTATCGTTAAGATTGCTAAAGCTATTCGAGTCACCGGCTAAGGCTCTAGCTTAATGATATTCGTACCTTTAAGCACGCTTTTAGCGATTCTTATACTTTTAATATCCTTTTTATCGATACGTAACTTGTTGAAGGATTTAAAGAGCTTGTTAGTACGTTCAAGGGTACTAGATCCCTTCCTCAGGTTGCTGAAGCTAAGCACGGAAATTTGCACGCTGTCCTTAGTAAAAGCTGATTTTGTCTAAAATGCTCTTAGGTTTTGGCGGGTCTTCTTTTGGCGTATAGCTATTATTGCTTCGCGTATTGTCAAGCTCGATTATGTTTTCGGAGCCGTTGTTGTTGCTATTCGGCCTTGGATTTTAAGAAACCCGGTTGTAGCTCTTAAGAAAAAGGTTTAAGAGCCGCTAAAGTGATTTTGGCTCTTGTATAATTAGCGTATTGCGTAGCGATTGCTGAATTAAGGGCGTCGAGTACGCTAAAGTGCTTCGTCGTAGCCCTTCGTTAGATTGTATAGCGTAAGTTTGTAATTCCGCCATTTGCCTTGCTATCACCTTTATATTTTGCTTTATATTCCTCTTTTCCTTCGCAAATTCCTCGCGTAACTTCCGAATCTCTTCCCCTTCTTCCTTTTCCTTCCTTTTTGGACTTCGTAAAGGTGGTTAAAGCGTATTATTCTCGTCGTCCGTAAGGTTTTCGGCGGTCCTCTTTGAATCGAAGCCTAAAAGTGTTGCCTGTTGCTCTTTTATTTCTTAAAAGGTCTATTAGTGTTATTGCTCGTCGTTCAAGAGCTTGACCATCCTATTAGCGTAGCCCCTTTGCTTTAAAAAGCACCACACGCTTTTAAACAGCAAGTGTTCTTTAAAGCTAATAAAAGTAGCAAACTTAAAGCCTCGTCCCGTATTGTCCTTCGTCATCGTAAAACTAGTCTAATCCTAGCGTAAGAAAGCGTGCCGGAATAAGCTCCACAAGTCGTAATCCTTTAGTCTTCTACACTTCGCGTCCAAGAAGTCCTTTACTATTGCTCGAGCCGTAATCTCACTGTCGAGCCTTGCGTATAATAGCTTATTTAAGTCAAATGAGATGCCCGACATCTCGTCGTCTGGTCCTTCCGAGAGGCTTGAGAGTCCTAAGTATAGTGGTTCCTTTGGCTGAATAGCTAAAGGTTCCGTAGGTAGTGATAAGACTCGAAGGGTATAATATCCTGCTCTTTGTCGGCTGGACTCCCCACCCGGAGGTCCAGTTGCTCGATCAGCCATAGTTGTTATCTGTTTTTATATAAGTCGATCCAAATTTAGCTAAATTGCTATATATAGCAAGCGCGGCTCTTACAGCGTTGATGTTAGTTAAAAGTGACTTGGTTCGGAATCACTCTTCCGTAAGAATAAAGAAAATCGGTAGTATAAGAAGCGACTTAGTACGGAATCGCTCTTCCGTTGTAAAAGGAAAGAAGTATCGTAGTAAAAGGTATCCTCGCTATAAAGTCCTAGCTTCTCTATGATTGATCACTTAATAGTAAATCAACCACTAATCAGTGTTAGATTGCTTCTAAGCGATTAAGAATATATATTCGTAAGGTCGTAACGGTCGTTAAAGTACTTGCAATTACAAAACACTCGATTGATAAGGTATCTGAATTCTGTCTGCTCCTTAAAGCTCAAAGGAGCTGACTCTTTCTATACGATTAAAAGGAATTACGTGCACTAGCTAACTAATAAGTTTACTTGTCAAGTTGAAGGTCCCTTGACTGCTGACATGCTAAGCGAGGCATGCCAAGTGACCCGTGAACCATAGTTCACGGG